TAATCCGATAATAAACAGAAGACGAAACACGGATAAGGGGGAGAAGCCTGGGAAAGAGACTCCCGCGAATCACCCCCCAGGCCAGCTGGAGAGAAAAGGATTTGGGAAAGAGGAGAAGAAAGTGAGTGAGAAAGTGAAAACAAGCCTGTGCTTGTGCGCACAGTACAAAAATAAAGCAAAGCAATTCTTTTCATGGGCCTTAGGGAAGTCAAATCCTTCTCGTTATACAGGTTTTCTGACGGAGAGTGATACTGACAAACCTGCAGAACAATGACATACAAGCGATGCCTTATATGCATGTGTATACAAGCATGTACGTAGGTGCAAATGCTGTACGTGTGTACTGAAAAGAGGCCACACAGGCTGGACTAACACACTAACGCACATTTGTCATACAAATTCCCCACATCAAGGCTGCCAACTACTATACCTACAGCAACAGTAAGCACTAAATGTCTCTGGAAAGTTTTGCTTGAGCTTTTTCTTACAAAAAGGCTCAGGTTCATGAATCACAGTGTGATAAATGGTTAGAAACTACAAAATAATTTGCTATCTGTTTTGGTGTGTTGACACCAGCATGCTGAGGCCCGATTGTCTGCATTGATAAATGAGACAAAAGAGAACAAGATTACATTTAAAGGCATTGTAAGACACTGAAGAAGAAGAGGAGATTGTGCACTGGAAACAAGATATCTCCTTTGACTCAGGAAGCTGTCTGAACACCCACACACAGCAGTTACACAGCTCAGGTTGAAGAATGGAAATGCCGGTTTAACCACAGGTTAGAGTGGTCTTGAGCACACGGCTGCAGCTCTCACCCCCCACTGCCGGTGGGGAAGAGTCTTTTCACACAGCTTGGAATAATTCATTCGTTTTTCTTCACTTTTTATCCTCCACGTTTGGAACACGAAGGACTCTGTTAATGTTGGGGAATCAAAAGAACTGGAGATTAACCTCGGCCCCACTAGAGCCAAGTTATACAGTACTCCACAAGCTGGAAGCTCCTGGTTTCTGCCAATTAGTGTAATATCCTGGATTCAAACCAGTAACCTCAGGCTGTAAGACTCACCCTTCACCTCAGCTTTACTGGGTCAGTCTTTTGTTTCAATGATTCAGTCAGAGGTTTTGGAAAATTTCCCCATAGATGAGACCCATGATAGCATATCAAAATTCAGCTACTCTACAAAAGGGCACAAGAATAACTGTAGTGAGTGGCTTGCCAAGCCCGTTTTCATTACCGATGAACGGAAAATGCAAAAAAGCTATTTGCACCCAGAAGAGTTGAATTCACACCTATTGCAAAAGCCAAGTGTGGCACGAGCCAGTTGCAAAGACGTGTAGAAAAAATGGCGCTGTACATCTTTAGTAACGTTCAGAGGTCCCCGCGGGTCTTCTGTGACAGCTTTGTCGAGATCAAACACCAGCGGCTTCATGCATCACAGTGTGCGATACCCCGCGCCGCTGTGCTGGAGAAACAGCAAGTGGGCCGTGGTAGAGGAGGAGCACAGCGGGTGAGACAAAAACTCACTGAACTCACTGCTGGAGATGCCTCGTGCTGGAGATGCCATGCATTCTTCTAGCTGGTACCTCACTGTGCATGTACCTGCCTACGCCACTCCCAGAGAAACTCTCAGGCTGATCCTTAAGTCCTTCCAACATCAGTGTATTGTGCAAGGACATGTAAAGAGCATCTACATAACAGACACCAGCTTATATTCCCAGTTAGTATCTGAGATATAAGCAAAGCCTTCACTGCATTGCGGCATTCGATCCCCTGCATGAGCTCCAGGTTCGTAGTAAGAATTTTAATTAATTTACATTCTATGTATTGGTGCTCACAACATGGTAACACCCATGTGATTTCAGCTTCATCCGCTGGGTCATGTAAGTATTTGGAAAATTGGTAAATCTATAAAATAACTGGTCAAGGTGTAAATAAACTTATGTTATTCTATAAATTTACCAGTCAGACCCCACAAGAAGAAAATCACTGTTTTAAAGCAGGAGGCGCCCAGACCTGCCCGAGTGACAGACATGTTAAACACTTCAACTCATAACTGAAATCCCCCATTGTGGTTTCTGAAAAACACCATGATGGTATGGTTAGAAATCAAATTGTAAAATAGAAATGTTTAGGAAACGTAATAGAATTACGGCAGAATTCACTGTTCTATTTAAAAAACTGAATTTGTGATTAAATTAGAAAAACACCTGCATGTGATTAGGTGCTCCTGCAAGCCAGGTAATGAATACCAATTGATAACACTGTCAGAAAAGAGAAAGAAAACCTGGTACATTATCATTTTAGTGAGATGACCGTGTCCAAACTGCTCATCTCCTACTTTACCTCCCCCAGCTCTGATGACACAGACCTCTCTCTGTCTGCATCGCTTCACAGGGACTCAAGGGCTGCTACACCAGAAAGACATCAGAAGCCAGAATCGTCCTTCGTGGTCCGTACACGTCTCCAGCAAGAAGTGATCAACGAATCTCTTTCGGATTTCTCCTTTCCATTTAAATAGACACTCCTGCACTCCACGCCTCTCCTGGGATCCATCACCTCTTGTCATCCCTGGAGCTCCAGTTCCACACCCCTCTATCCATTCTCCCATTCTCCTCCTCCCTCTCCTGCTCTCCCACATACCCGAGGAGGGGCCACAGCTAAAATGTGGTGTTTTTTCTCTTTAGTTTTCGGTGGCAAGATTAACCTTTGCTGGTTCCTCTGCATTACATTACCTTTCTGCGAGTGCGGTCCCCTCCTATCCATCAGCCCTGCACCGGATTAAACGTGCAGCTCAGACGAGTTCTTTTCACCCTTACCATGTCAGACGTGCAGAGATTCTGGGTAGTGTCTACTTGTTATACCCTTGTCAAAACGGAGAAAGGGAGGCTTCTTGGCTCATCTAACTTGTTAAGGTTTTTTTTTTGCTGTAGCTAATTGATCCAAGACTCTCATCCAGCTGTTTCTTGAAGGATGCCAGAGGGACATCGGCTTCAACAATGTGACTGGGTAGCAACCCTGCAAAGCGCAGTAAAACCCACCAACAGAATCACTGTCAACAGGAGAAAGGGATAGGAAAGGACAGCCCCAATAGTGGGTTAACCATAGCAATAAAAATACACGCATGGAGAAGTGAAATCACACCCCGCAAATTTCACCAGCGCTAATTTTCATTTGGTGGGGAAGTAAGGAGGGGGAATGCGTATTTATGAAACTACACAGGAGCAGATAAAGCTGACACTTCCGGAACAGTCCTTTGGCCCCTGCATATTTACGAAGCCCTTCGTGCCTTGTGGACTGCAGCACGTATGCGGCCTGTGAGGAAGCTCTGGCCCAGTTACTGAACACACAGAAGAGAGAGGCAGCTCCTGGGCCAGCAGTGACCAGGTGTGTGCTGAACACTGGAGCTCAGTAAACAGGCTAATGGTATAAGTGCAACATGATCCACACAGGTACAGAGAACTTGCATGGTTCTGCTATTTAGTGTTCTGTAGTACCCATTGTATGTTGTTGTGCTATGTTGTGCACGATGAAGGGCTAGTTATTATTTACTCTTTGGTGATGTACTGTTCACATTGTGTGGCGTCATCTATTGTACTGTGCACATCACGAGAGAACAGCCTGAATAAGAATCTGAATACACATGGACACATGACAAATAAACTCCTCTCTCGAAATGCTGAATATCCAC